GTCCTCATGGGTCATGTTTTCTAGACCTTTAATCAATTTTTGCTGCTCTCCTCTGGACTTTCTACACTTTGTCCACATCTTTCCTGAAATGTGGCACCCAGAACAGGATCCAATACTCCAGCTGAGGCCTTATCAGCATGAAGTAGAGTGGAAGAATTACTTCTCATGGCTTGCTTACAATACTCTTGCTAATACATCCCAGAATGATGTTTGCTTTTTAAAAAATTTTTTTGCAACAATGTTACACTGTTGACTCATAGTTAGCTTGTGACACACTATAACCCAAATCCCTTTCTGCATACTCCTTTCTAGGCAGTCATTTCCCATTTTATATGTGTGCAACTGATTGATCCTTCCTAAGTGGAGTATTTGCATTTATCCTATTGAATTTCATCCTATTTACTTCAGATAATTTCTTCAGTTTGTCCAGATCATTTTGAGTTTTAATCCTATCATCCAAAGTACTGGCAACCCCTCCCATCTTGGTATTGTCTGCAAACTTAAAAAGTGTACTCTTTATGCCACTATCTAAATAATTTCTGAAGATATTGAACAGAACCAGACCCAGAACCAATCCCTATCAGACCCCGCTTGATATGAACTCCCAGCTTGTGAATCACTGATAACTACTCTCTCGGAACAGTTTTACAACCAATTATGCACCCACCTTATAGTAACTCCATCTAGGTTGTATTTCCCTAGTTTTGTTTATGAGAAGGTCATGGAAGCTCACATCAAAAGCCTTACTAAAGTCAAGATATACCACATCTACCACTTCCCCGCCATCCACAAGGATTGTTACCCTGTAAAAGAAAGCTATTAGATTAGTTTGACTAACTGGTCTGTAATTCCCTGGGTTGTCCTTATTCCCCTTTTTATAAATCGACCATTTGCCCTTTTTCAGGCCTCTGGAATCTCTCCCGTGTTCAGTGTTCCCTCTAATTTTTCCCAACCATGTGCGGAATGAATTATGTGCACCAATATGGAGTTGATGTGTGACACATCATCTTCATATCCATGCACATAACAAAATTCATGTGGTGGGGGTGGGGCCAAGGGGTTCGGAGTGTGGGAGGGGGTCAGGGCTGGGGCAGAGGGTTGGAGTACAGGGGTGTGAGGGCTCCGGCTGGGGCTGCAGGCTATTGTAGGGGAGGGCGGAGGATGAGGTTGTTAGGGGTGCAGGAGATGCTCCGGGACTAGAGAAGAGAGGGAGCTCTTCCCCCAGCTCTCCCTCCCCTCAGGGGCTCCAGGGCTGGGGGTGAGA